CGCCGAATACACAGTATCACCTGCTTATCGTATAACTACTTATGCTTTATTTTTATTACAATACACGTGTTGTCATGCTTGAAGTGATGCATAAAAGCTTCAGAGATTACAAAATTGCAATTTCAATGATCTGTTTTGGCTTTGAATAAATATGCTAACATCCAGTCGTGGCTAGAGAATCTAGGTTCAAAATCGAGAACGTAATGCAATATAGTTGATTTCTACCAATCATCAGAACTAGAACAAGCGATCCTAATGCAAAATTACTTGTTAATAACAAGTTTTAACGACTGATGCAAAAAGCAGTACTTCGTAACAATATCAATTACAGTTGTTCAAATATCAGTTGTAACAAAAAAATGTCATTCATATTTTACCTGGCTATTCTCACTAGATCGTAGTTTTATCCGAGAATTGTAAGGACGCAAAACACGATTATATCTACAAACGGAACCATGAATAAAGAGGTTTTGAAGTGATACAATAAGAAGCCACTAAGACCTTGTAGCTCACCAGCCTTACCATCTATGAAATACAGTCAGTTGACCCTTAGTATGAAAAAGGATTTACGACATGCTATTCATGCCATATAGTTGATATTAGGTGGTCCACCTCTAAATATAACATATCACATGTAACTTTTGAGATGTCCATCATGATAAGTCTTGTTAATTTGAACGCTTTGTTCGGTTCCTAAGCTATTCTGGTGACCCGCAAGCTAGAACTACGCAGCGACCTGAACTCGAGAGAAAAAGGCGCAAAATAAGCGAAAAACACTTTACTCCAAAGGTTCATTTTTGTACAGAAAAACACGGGTACTTATAGATGTTAACATTTGTTAAACCAACATATTTTGGCCAATCCGCTAAAAGACACGTTTTGCTACTGACCAATAGTAGCACGCCACGTTGATATTCTAGAAGCTCCATCATGCTCTGATTGGCTAGGACTCTCCGACTCCTTTAGGGACTCTGAAGATTCCGTTGCAGTTCTCGGAAAGTCGACTCAACACATCATGCAACAGATTCAGGGTGTAAATATCAGAACTACGTGGTCAATAGCTAACGGAAGACATGAAAAAGTGAAGTTTATTTAAATTTCTTTGTTGAAACTTTATCCGACTTTGCTATTTGAAAAGAACTTTATAGAACGAACTGGTGCATTTCTTCCTTTATTTGCTGACATGATTCCAAGCATTTAGGAAGTTATAAAAATACTAGAAGAGGTTTTCAACTCAACCGATAATACAGTTGAAGAGTATTTGAATGACATTATAGCAGAAGTAAAGCCATAAAAAGTGTAGAGGAAATTCTTGAAGCAAACTCTTGTTCACTTCCCTAAAATACAAAGTAAACTTTTGTAGAAATAAGTAGGAGATTCTGAATTTTATGTTGGCTGACAGTTATTTTTGAGTTTGATATGTTCTTTAATTGCATCACCAGGCTAGTGTTAACTTGCAAACTTGAAGGGAAATGGAAAAGAGGAAGACGAAGTGAAGCATTGTGTCAGTAATTAAAGCCTATATCTAAAGAATGGAAGGGATAACCCAGGATAGAGTTAGTTGGAGAATACTGGTGTGCAGCCTATACTCTTCCACGAAGGGTAACAAGTAACATAATGAGTGTGAAGTTATTCATAAAAATGCAATATCTAAAATGTTTCAACCCATTTAATGAGTGCTTTGTATAAAACTATGATTTTTACCGGATATTTTTATTTCATTTATCAAAAGCTTTTCATATACGCTTTCTATAAAAAAGACAATAGAGAATCCCTAAATTAATATACTTAAAATGAAATCCTCAGTTTAAAATTATCCCTTAACATGTAGCCTTCATTCATTAAATTAATGGAAAGATATCTGAATTTGCATGATATCGCATGTATATATAATGAACATGGGGAAAATGTATGATCTATAGACTGATTCCTAAGCAGAAACCCACTAACAATCATTTTCTCAATTCTGATTATCTCACTCATCCACTAGACTTTTACTAATACTTCAAACATATTATATAGTACTATTTTACTCCGTTCACATAGCAGGAAAGATTTGTATTAAAGCACTGTAGTAAATGATTCACCAAATATAATGTGCCCCCAAATGCTCTAGTATATTCGACGGTGAATTGAGCTCTCTCTCCCTCTTGAAATGGTCTCACATATACAGCTACTGACTGGGAAGTCCTACTCAATGCCTTCTCTCCGCGGGGGTGTTCTTTACAAAATTGAGGGAACGAAAGACGAATATCCGGCGCTTAAACTGAGTTGATGGATACGGAGAAGCCATCTAGGCGAGTCAGAAACTCTCATTCCAAACCAATGGTGCATATGGGGCCCAGGATCCTGAGGGAACAAAGGCGTATGAACCAATTACTGGTCACCAGCTACCATTAGACTTTATATCCTTACGTTGGTTCACTGTCTTAAGGATTAGACCTCTAGGTCGAAGGCTTCGGGTGTGGCCCCCTAAGAAAACCATATGATTCGGTCTGGGCGCCCTGACAGTATCACAGACACATAAAATGACAATAATTACTGGAAATACTGGTCTTGCTCCAATTAAAATTCAGACAACTTACATCCACTTGATAGGATTCATTTTTGTTTTTTTTTATATACTACGTAACTAATCTCTCTTTCGTTGGTGTCGCACTAAGCACTAGAGCTGAGGCAGCACTAATCGATTGGATCCCCATTAACAGTCGGTTATGTGCTGTTAGATTAGAAAGTCCCATCAAAATAAGAAATCGGTGTGAGAAACGATGGCTTTTCGTCATCTCCGCCTATGACCCGACAAGATTGCAGCCCAGATGCAATCAAGAATGAATTTTACCACCAGTCAACTGTTCTTCAGAAAGTGCGTTAGACAGATATTGTAGTGCTAGCCGGAAACTTGAATGCTCAGGTCGGGCGTCTAGGCATAAAAGAGTCGTTTAGGTGACCGATAGGGAGTTGTTGGTCGCAGGTTGGATAACTGGGACCGTCTACTGCAACTGTGCGCAAACAACCTGTTTCTCACTAGCAGTCATCGCCAATGTGTCATCTGGCGCCTTCCCTCTGCATCTCAGGTCTGGACTCAGATTGATCACATAGCGATTAGCTACCACTGGCGTGGTTGTGTACAGGACTGCCGCTCTTTTCGGATTACCTATCTGGACTCTAATCATGCCCTTGTTTGCGCTGATCTCATCTTACTTTTCAGTGGCCAAATAATTCATGGTCCTAAACGGGTCGATGTCAGTAAATTGGTTGCAGCTTCTGTTGCAACTAAATATCAAACCGAGCTAGGTTCAGGGCTAGCTATCATTCCACCGAAAAGTATAGATGAGCATTGGTTGCAACTTCATGACGCCATAAAAATGGCGAGTAAAGCCGCTTGGGGCTTCGCGAAACATTCCGTTTAAAAGCACGAGGTTTTTACAAGCTCCTTACAAATCATTGATACCAGTCGGTCTACTCCAAGTGACTATGAGTTTGACCACAAACGACGACTGTTACGTAATGAAATTGGGCAAGGCTTGCATAAGGACAGAGAAGCCTGGTGGTTAGAGAGTGCCAATGAGTTGAAAGCAGCAACTGTATCTAGTAACTACCAAAAGCTCTTGCAACTCGCCCGAGTCACTGGCAGAAGTCTGATATAGTTTTGAGTGATGAAATCAATTCACATATGGTGAAAGCCAGAGCGGCTTATGCCAATTTGGACCATCTTTGTGATGTTATTGTGGCTGTAAAGGTCGGACCTAAGAAGTGTCAGTGAGATCATTTATGCTCTATGCTTGTGAAAACGGGCCTCTCCGAGTTGAGCATGTTAGACGACTCTCTGTGTTTGATCTCTATTGCCTCCGAAGGATTGATGACATCCAGTGGCAACACCATATTAGTAATGTGGAGATTCAGCATTATGTGTTCAGGCACGACGATAATAATTCACTATCTTGAAACATTAACTTCGAGGACTTAGACATGTTCTATGAATGTTGTCTCAGAGAATTCAACGTTGTGTATTATTTGCCGACTCTGGGACTGGTAAAAAAATAATCGGAAAGGTGATCAATTTATGACATGGGGTCGTGGTATATAAGAAAGTTGTACAGAACTGACTTCTATCGGTTCTTCACAACTCCCTGATTGGGGTCTTAGCGATGTTGCGCAACACAATAGCTAGTGACGTTATTGGAAATAGATCAGAATGAAAGAAAATGGTGGTTCCACCGTAAATTTCTTTCTCTTTCTTCATTAAAAGCGGACGAAACTTCTTTAACTGGAAGAATTCTTCCTGGTTATACCTTTGCTTATTGAACTTTTTCGCCAATTATTATTATTTCACTAACATACACTAATTTCTGTTCGTTGTTGTTCTCCCTTTTTTTTTTAAAAAAAAAAATACTCATCTAACATTCTTAATCTCTTCACAGCCTCATTGTTATTGTGTGTGGGTGTATATCTATTTGGTACCCCTATGTATATTTAATTTCATAATCTAAATATAAATAAACAAAGAAAGATAAATTGTGCATTAAACAACAGTCAATGTATCCATGCCTCTCTCTCTTTATATATATATATATATATATATATATATATATATATATATATATATATATATATATATATATATACATCAATGGGAAGATTCAAGTAAAACAATATCAAGTGAATTAAACTTCACCCCATTTCACAAGCAAGTGGCTAACATGACTCAGTAGCTAAGTGGATAACGTGATGGCGTTTGAAGCGAACGGTACTGAGTTCGAGTCCCAGAGTGAACATCAACTCTGAGATGCAGGTACATCCAGCTGACGAGTCCCAAACAGGACAAAACGCGCGTCAAACTGGATTCCACTGCTAGCCACTATCCATCCTTGCCAATGATAATGCTTGTAAATTAAGGCAATATTGAGGCATACGCACAGTATGCATATATGCTAATAAGAGACTGATCAATTTCAGTCCAAAAACATCAATGGGAAGATTCAAGTGAGAGAGAGAGAGAGAGAGTATGTAGTATGTATATGTGTACACAAGTAAACAAACCATAAATAACATAATGAATATAATAACAAAGTGTTATATCAATGTTTTATTACTAATTCTACATTGAGATTAATTTCAATGAAATTAGATTCATATCAATATACATATCTGTTTATCTTTATATTACATTAAACATGCTCTGTAGTGATAATAATATGATTATGTAAGGGTATAATTGTTTTCCTTTTCTTTCTTTCTCTCGTTCTTTTCTTTTTTTTATCACAACAACTGAATGAAACAAGCAACTGATGTATAACAACAGCAGAAGCAACAGCAGCAGCAACAACAACAACAACAAACAAACAGTATACAGTAAAGGACAATAAAAATATAATTCAAATGATAATATAACTATTCCATAATATGACAATTCATATACAGTTGTGTATCTAAGTATATATTTATAGAGGGAGGGGGGTACATTGCCGTGTGTACGTGTGTGTGTGTGCGCGTGTGACAATTCACATAAAAACAATGACATAATAATAATAATAATCTCAAAGTAAACAAAATGAATTTTACACAAATATAATTTCTGTACAATAATATTTCATATGTGTAGTATAAGAGATAATAATCATGAGAAGCTAATTCATACTCTAAGCATCATATCACTATTATCATTAGTAGTAGTAGTAGTAGTAGTAGTAGTAGTAGTAGTAGTAGTAGCATTAGTGTTAGTATTATTAGTAGTATGAGTAGTATTAGTAGTAGTATGAGAAGTATTAGTATTCATCTCATCATTATTATTTGTATTATTTAAATGAAGTTCCGGAAATAATTCTAAAAGGAATTGATCTAATAGAATATAAGTTAATTGTTTATTCCATTTAGAATATTGAAAACAATCAAATATTCGATTTAATTGATCATGTATAATTTCTAAATTAGTGAAATATGAAAGACCAGTTATATCTAAAATAATAATGAAAGAATAGAAATATAGATAGAGAAGAATTAAACTCATCACATATAATAATAGGGGTTGTTTATTTGAACATTGAATATAATAGTACAACAGAAATCATTTGATGATTTGTGTGAGGGATGGAATGCTGCTCGGGTGCCCAACAGAGGATTCGCTTAAGGGGGGGTCAAACTCCGAGTTTTCCACCTAGAGGTTTGATCCACAAGGCAGTGGAGCAACGTTAAGAGATGCAGTCCCATGGTAACCATTGACCAATATCAGGCTCATACGCCATTTGTCTCCTTAGGATCCTGGAACCCATGTGCACAATAGGTTTGGAATCAGGGTTTCACAGCCCCTAGGCTGATCCACTACATCCATCAACCTGGTTTATGCGCCGGACATCTGCTTCATGTCCTCTCAACAGTGAGTACGACTTACCTAACAGCGGCTGTATATATGTGGCCATGTTAGAGTATTTCGAGAGGAAGAGCGGGCTGTCTGCCGAGACAGGGCGTTTGGGGGCAATAATAGCAGTTATAATGGAGGGGGTTGCGAGAATTGCTGAATTTTCTAATTTTACATTATAAACCGAATTTACTTACAGGAACAGTGA